GGCCGCGCTGCCCGCGCCGCTCGGCGTTCAGCGAGGCGGCGGCTGAAGGTGCTTCCTGCCGCTCCAGCGACTGCCTTGTGCCGCTCCCCGGGGATGGCCACTCCGCGGCATCCTAAAAAGTACCTTTGAAGCAATAAAACAGCCGTGCGGTTCGCATTGCCGGCAGCGGTGCTTCCTGCTCGCTGCCCCCGTCCCTGTTTCGTGGGTGCGTGTCCGGTCCCGTGTTCCCCGGCCGGGAGCTGCCAGCTCCCCGAGCCCTGGGGACCAGGGTGGAATCTGCGCAAAACAGATGCAAATCTGATTTTTCCGTGCTGGCAGCAACGCGAGCATCAAGCCTGGAGCCCCTGTGTCTCTGTGACACGGTTTGGGCATCGCCAGAAGGAGCGGCTCCTCTCTGCCTTTGCGATTTGCATGACAAAATTTGGAGAGGTTGCCCTCATACCTGCTTTTGTAACGCTGCTGGCTTAGAGAGCTGTGGGGATAGGGATCTGACGGTAATTGACAACTTGTAAAAAAACGCGAAGCAACAATGCTGTATTGGAACATGAGGCATGATTTAATGACGTATTCATAAGTATGTCATTAAATCGCTTTTTGTTTTTAACGTTGATAAAATTTGGCTTGTGAGCTGGGAGAAGTAATACTTAGAAGAAAATTCAAAGGCACGGCATTGAAGTTTAAATGAATAAAATACTTTAACAAAATTCTTGGGTCATTGTAGAAACTAAAGTGATTTTACAGGTAAAAAGTTGTAACCGCCATTATATTTTGTGCCACTGTAAGCAAACCACCAATGTATGAATTTTATTTAAAAATATTTGTGGGTGTTTCTATAGATATACTTATTTTTCTTGTGTATTGTTTCCAAGGTTGTCTGGCCTTTCATGTGGATGGCTTCAGAGAGCATTTCAGGAGTAGGGTAAGAACCTAAGGCTTTTGGGTGTACTTTTGGGCTTCCCTTTTACAAAAAATGAATAGGATCAATTTTTCATCAATTGTCATAGAACTTGCAGTATATTAAACCTTTAGCATAAAAAAAGCTCTAAACCTGCACATTTAAATGTTTTAGGGCATTTTATACCTACGTAACATGGAAAATTTTGATTAAAAATGCATGGGAAAGCATTTGTAGTCATTTTAGGCATCTGAAATTACAGTCTATTTTCAGTGTCTTGTGCTTTTTGGTCATATGGTAAGAATTCTCAGCAACAGAATTGAAAATTATGGTTTTGTCTGATGTATTTCTCTTTTTCACATGTACGTATGCATCCTTAAATTAGAATTTTCACATAATTAGGTATATTTATTATCAATTTATGACCTAAGCTGTTGTTTTATGTAAAATTCGTATTAGTGCAGAGCAGCTCCAACAAAGCTGCATTTTGGTGGCATTTCGGTACTTTCACTTTAATGGATGTCTTGCTCTTTCAATGCTAGTTCATTGGTCAGAAATACAATCTCTGTAATTCTCAGCAAAGCATTTGAAGTTATAATCCCTATAATCCTTGTAAAGCAATTTAATGTGTGGTCTATTTTGGGGCTGTCCTGGTTATATCAGTAATGTATTTCAGTTTTCTAGCCTGTGTTCATTTGATAAATAATTTTTTAATTTTTATATTTAATGTATCATTATCTTTCATTTAAATTTACATAGCATTTTTCATATGGCCTTAAAACTATAGGAACTGTATATTTTTATTATCTTAATTGTATAAATTCTCAGTTACACTATTTATAGAAAGTTATATGAAGTTTATATAATCATTTGATTATGTTGTTGCACTTGGTGCATGCTTGTATGAGTAATGCTGCTCTGAGAATATTGGGTTTGGAGAGATTGGTGTCTTTTGACTGTCTCTTCTTGCCATCTGTTTTCTGTTTCCAAGTTTAGAGCCTCTGCAAGAACAGTCCCCTTTTTGCTTGCAGAAAGACTGCATCAAAATTGTCCTTCTCAGAAAGAAAGGAAGGTTTAAGAGTCATTCCGAGCAAGCATTGAGAACTTTATCAGTGGCTGTTAAGTCTGTGATTTTATAGCAGATCAGCCATCAAGCAACCTTAAAGGAACAATATTGTATGAAAGTTAAAGTTTATGAAAGACAGTGCTGTTATTAGATTTAAAGAACCAGAAATACCAAATCCCAAGACATTGTATTCCTTCCAGAAGTTTATTTTTTTTTTATTTTTAGAGCTGCATATGAGTACCTGAGATAAAAGGAACGATAAAAAAGCAAAACAGGGAAGATGTAATGTAATGTTATGGGTGATGCATGAAGTTAAATTTCAGTGCTTTCAATTCTCTTAGGTATCTCCTCTTTAATGCTACAGTTGATTTGTTTTTTCCCCTCTTCCCAAGCAGAAAACTGGATGAAGTAAATTTTACCTTGCTTATCCAAATTCGTTTCAGACTTCAGACATTAGTGTTTAATGACAACTTATTGGGATGTGTAAACAGGTAAATGAGAGTTGTCTAAAACCACAAGTTTCTGCTTCGGTCTGGTAACATCTGGATGGTGGTGGTGTGGCCTAACAGATAAATAAGGTGGTTGTTATTTGTTTTGGTCTTTTTGATTGCCAGAACAAAATCTTGCACTCTTCTTTTGTCTTTTTTTTTGTATCAGCTACAGGTGAGACCAGCTTTGTGGTAACGGTTTGCTTTGGCACATCCAAGAGATTTATGTAACACGATAAATAATGCTTTTCAGATTAGTTCCACAAAATAATCTGTGCTGACAGTTCTATTGTACTAGTTACTGCCCCACCTTTTAGTTGTAGTAGCATTTTTGGACTTAATACAGTTTTTGTAAATGCACTTGCAGGAATGAAGTGGAAGTCAACTGAATTCTCTCGTGCTCTGCTGAGACGAAATGACATTCATGTTTGTGGTGAATGGAAGTCATGGCAATGTCTAACATGGGAGGGAAAGACACGAATGGACCATGTGGCGTGACTCGTTCAGACTGCAGCTCTTCTGCCTGCTTATGGCAGTGCTGGCTGTTGTGGTCCTGGTCCATAATTTTTTTCAGTTAGAGGTAAGTGGAGCCCGTTTCTTCTCCAAGATGGCTTGAGCAGCATTGACTTTTGAGTGTAAGGTTAGAATAGTCTGACTGACAGCATTTAGCTATGAATTGGAATCACAGAAAATTCATAGTTGAAGGCATGTCTGGAGGTATTTAATCCAACACCCTCCTCAAAAGGCTAGCATTAGAGTTAGTTTGGATTGCAACAGGGTATTTTGACTTTAGTCAGTATGCAAGGACATTCATATTTCACAGCCTACCTAGGCAGCCTATTGCAATGCTGCATCCCTCTTAGAAGGAAGAGTGTTTGCCTTATGTGCAACAGGAGGTTGCCTCTTATCGTATTAGAGGGTACTTTAACTCCAGTTCCTCTGTGGCTCTCCTGTAGGAAGTGAAAACTGCAGTTAGATCCCCTTTTGGTCTTCTCTAGATTTAAGAAAGGATCCTTTGGTTCCTTTAGTGTCATTTCAGTTCCCTAATCATCTCAGGGGCTCTTGTCTGGTTTTGCCAGCTTTATTCTGCCGTGGGTTGTTTAAAAGCCAGACACAGTGTTCTAGGTATGACTTCACCATTGTCAAGTTGAGGAGAACTATAACTTTGCTCAATCAGCTGGTTAGGATCTTGTTAATTCCTTGCCACAATGCTGTGCTGCTGACACACGGTGGGTTTGCTGTCCCCTGGAATCCTTAGGTCTTTTTCTGCAGAGCTGTTATTAGCTTGTTCACCTCCAGCCTGTAATGATGCAGTTTTTATTTGCCTTTCCCTTTTTCCCTTCACTGTATCTGTCTTGCATCTTCCTTATCACTTCAGTGCAGAGGTGCTTTCAAACTGCTTAGTCAGTAGCCTCAGATTAAAGTCAAGGCAGATGAGGATCTGTCTGAGGGAGCCCTGGCGGCTGACCCTGCCCATTGGCTGCCTGCCTGGCCAGGCATTCCAGTGCTGCATTAGGTGGATGAGCATCGTAATGCTTAGCCTAACACCTCGTTAAATTATAGCTGTCCTTTGTGCACATCAGCCAGTCAGTAATTGCTTTATGCTTATAAGTTCTGTGTATGCTACTTGCAGAATCTTCCTTCCTCCTGCCTAGTGGTGCCCAAATGAAATGATCTGAAAGAGGGGCTGTAAAGCCCCCTCACACCACACAGAATATAGCTGAATCAGAAGAGGATCTCGTAAGGGTAAGGAAGATGTTTGAGAAGTCTAAAATCACGAGCATGTCAGGATCAATAACTGAAGCATGAACATGGGCTACATGTTCCAGTACTAGTGGACGCATTAAATAAAAACTGCAGATGCAGATTTTGAAGGAAGTAGGATATTTCTTATGGATTGCAGCAAAGCTGCAGAAACCCTTGCAGTAGGTCTTTATAGTTACTAAATGCATATATTCAAAAAATCTGGATGAATGCACAGAAGAAAAGTCTATTGGGGGATACTAGATCTTAAAGATGTTTACCCTAGTGTTGAAGAAATCTAAACCATAAAGTGCTAGAAAGTGTGTTCAGTCTACAGGAGGAAATGGCACAACATGTTTTCTTTTCCCACATACCTGCTGTTGGAAACTATTGGCAATCAAAATACTGTGTTTGATGGACTTTTGGTTCAAGTTAGTGTGATCCATTTTGTTCATAAGAGGTAGCTTTTGTTTTCTCTTTCTGTGGTTCAATTTTGCTGTTGCCTGAGGAAGGTTGATATTTAGGGTCTTAAAGTGTTTTCTTTCTATTTTAAAATTTCATTTCTTGGAGTAAAGGGCTCTGGCAGTGCTTCGAGAGTGAAATGGAAAATGCAGGTTGGGTGTTTGCTCTGTGCTTTTTCTTGCCACTGTCCATGATAAGTGTCTGTGGTATTGTTGCCCTTTACATGTCTGCTATTCTAAACTCAGTTAAGTATTGTGTTGCTGGTAAATCTTTACACTGCAACATGCAACCCCTTCTGTTTTCATGACTTTTCTTAATGGACCTGCTCCTGTATTTGTCTTGGCTCAGTTTTCCAAGCACTCTAACATAGGCATTTATGCTGATTCTTTTCAATCAGTGATCAAAGCCAGAAAAAATCTTAAAAAACTTTCATAGGATATCTGTTCCGGCTGTGGAAGGAGAGCTTATTGTTGGTTACTCTTGAGAACGTGTTTGTAAATGCATCAGACATACTTATTATCCCTAAATCATCCAACGTAGCTAGCTAAAGCTCAAGATCTAAGGCAATTCTTTTTTGCTTTAGGATTTTATAGTTTTTCATGTTGGAATGTTTCTGCTTAATTTCTTAAACTACTAATAACACTCTCCCAGTAGTCGTACCCAAGTCAGAATTTTACTTTCCTTGTCTTGTGTTTAAAAAACCCAAAAAACCAACCAAGCTGTCCACAAAATATTTGGTAGCCAGCTTATTATTTGTTTTGCTTTTTATTATGGAATAGCTATTCTCTTGAGGTCACACAGGTGATCATATAGTACCAGAATAATATTTTATTATATTTTTTTCTGGGAATATAGCCAGACGGATAAAATGTACAGCAATTTTTGTGAAGTGCAGGATGTTGCCCCATCATCAAGCTCTCACAATGCAGGAGGGTTTGTGTAGTTGTACTGGTGGCTTTTAGAGTGACAGAACCACTTTGGGATTCAAAAGCACCTTGAAGTGAGAGTTTATGGGGAGAAGGGAAGGTTCTTGCCAGGACAGCATATGAAATAAGACAGCTGAAACTGAACAAAAGAACTGTGTAACAAGTTGTAAATTTTTGCTGCTAAATTGCAGGTGCCTACAAAAGATAACTTTTTCTTATTCCAATTATTTCTGGAACATTTGACTGTCAGGTGATGGCTTTTGAGGATTGGTGTTGTCACTTAGAGTAGTTTAGCAGCCATTCAGTGCTGTGAGGTGGTAATGATAGAGAACTGATTTCATATCTGTCATAGGTAACAAAGTACCTGGAGTGTAAAATTACTGAAAATAAGATGATTGATCTTTCAGGAATTGGTATTTGTTCAGTTTCAGATGTTGTCTCGTGGAACTTTTATTTTTCCACTTGTGCCTGTTGCCTGGGGATCTCCTGTGTTGCTTCCTGCTCTAGTGACAGTGATTTATGCAGGTTTGCAGCAGCTGTTTGGGATGCACCAGGCCAAGGCAGGAGTTAACAGCTGGTGGAAGATACTGGGCTTTGAGATGGAGTTCCACCTATTCAGCAGCAATGGAAATACTCAACATTTTCATCAGCCACCTACATTGTGGTGTTTAACAGAGGACAGGTGTTCATTGCAGATTTTCCCAACACTCTGTGACCTTTCTAGAATATCTTTGAGAGCATTATTGCCCGAGTTAATCTATACGTTGTATCTAATTTTTGCTTAGTTGGCAGTGAGAATGCCAAAAGATGAGATAAGCTGAAACTTCCATTAGTTCTCATAAAAATATAGCTTCCTTTTTATGACATCTCTAATGCAGGAACTGCTAGTAGATTTATTAGTGCTTAACTGACATGTAATCTCTTCTGTCCTGCCTGTGTTACTTGGCAGATAGCCATTAAATTACTTTGTGGTCACATTTGGGTTCTGGTTAGCAAGCAGGTGTTATCCAACATGGAGCTGTAATGAACACTAAAAGAATCTGTGTCATAAAGGAAGAGCACTCTTGAGAAATCCTCTTTATCTGTTTTTCATAAAAGAATTTTATTTCGTTATGGTTACTAATTGCAGTAGAAAGCCCTCAGTTCTGCACAGTCTCGGTATGACAACGTAGAGAAGCCATAGAGATTTGGAAATGCCAAGAGGGAGTAGGATATGAAGTGGGGACAAACTAAGCTAGTTATTTACCTCAGGGCAGGCCTTGTGTATCTGTGGAGGCAGGAGAACTCTGTGGAGGCAGGAGAACCTAAGTACTTGTTTGGAGCTGAGCCTGGGAAGCACTTAAGAAAGGAAGATGGCTTGGAAAGCTTTTCAATTCCGGTCAAGGACCTTTGGTGTATTAATTGACTCTGAAGCTTTTTCTGCCTTTACTGGCAAAGAGGATCTCTGCAATATTTTCTCCTGTGAATGGTGTACATTGTATAGCTTATTTTCACACAAAAGCTTATAATTCTGCAGCAATACATGGTCCTGGTTAGGCTTCAAAGAGGGCTGTAAAGATGAACAAGGATGCTGGAGAATGATTGGTTTTTCAGGATGTTGCAGAAGCTCTATTCTTACCTTCATGGATCTTCCCTCTCAGGCTCTTTCAAGATAGACTGAGGAAATATTTGTGGTATGATCTGTTCTGCTTAGTAGAACATAACCTGGAGATGTTGAAGTGACAGTGCTTGTCCTTGTTCTCAGCTGCATACAAGTGAAGAGCTTTGGCCTTATGCTCTGCTAAAAATCTGTGTAGGTGGACTGATTTGGAGACATCAAACCATGTTCTGTTTTCTGAATGAGTTTGTTGGCTTGGTGTTCTTTGCACCCTTTCCCACTAAAAGATATAGGTATGCCCCTGGGAAGACTTCAGAAAGGCTAGCTAGGCCAGAAATGGCATCTTCTACATCTCTGACAGAAAGACTGGGTCTAAAACCCTCAGGTAATTTATAGAAGACTAAAAATAGGGTTATGTCAGTTTTTAAGCTATCTTAGATAACCATCTCTTCTTAATTTGAATGGATTTGTTTTTCCCATGTCCCACAGCCCAAAGTACCAACCACTGAAGAACCAACTGAAAACCAGAAACTTTCTCTTGGGAACTTACATTGGAAACAACAAGTAATCACATACCCATATTCTCCCTTTCCACTCTTCTTTAGGAAAACACGTAAATATTTTTGCTCAGACGTTGTTACCAGCTTATTAGATGCATCAAAATATATAGCTAACTTTAAAAAATATTTCCATGCAGTATTTTCTGTGTTTTATATATATATATATATGTTTGTTTTATATATATACATATATTTGTTTCATATATATATATAGATATTTGTTTTATATTTATTTATTTATTTATGCATGCATGAGCAAGTGAAGGGAGGAAGTTATAAAGGTCTCGAAAAATAGAAACTTGTCTCAATTCAGGAATGCATGTAGGTAAGATTTAAAGTAGAACTGTTCCTCAGATTTACTCTCAGCTTTGGCTGAAATTTACTGGAGTAATAAAAGTAATGTGCAGCCTACATCTGCAGCTTGGCTTGCTGTGATGGAAAGCAAAAATAATTAAGAATTATCTCAGATGGCCTTCAGGGAAAATCTATTATATCCTGGGTGGGAATATAAAACAGAAGCAAAAGCTTCTATTGTGATGTTAACATCTGGTGTATAGATGGGTATGTGTCAATTTATGTTTTAGAGCTACAGTGTAGCAATTTACAGTTTCAGGTTTTATAGTTAACTTGGATATCAAATGAAGGAGATTTTGTGTATCCATCCTACATCCTCATGTGCTCATCATCTTACTCTAAAGCTGATCAAAACCAACTTATGTCACAGACTTCAAACACCTATGTGTTTCTCCTGCTTGTTAGGTTTACCTTTCTACTAAAAAAGTATATTGAATCTCAGTGTGGTTCAAATGATTTTAAGACACTTCTGATATTTCCATGGCCTAAGAAAGGTTTATAACAATGAATAAGGCTTCAGTATGAGTGCTGTGACTTTTAGTACATTACTGAGTTAGTTATGGAGGAAGTAAATGGAGAACACTGGGGTACTGGTAATATTGTACCAATATTTAAATATGATATTTTTTAAGATTTCAAATAACTTTGTTTAAATCTTCTAGCTATCTTTCAAATCTAAACTAGCATATCATCTGATGCCATGTGAATGGTACACTGTATAATTTTAATCTTTGCTTGAAAAACAATTTTCCTTCTTTGTCAAATAGAACTATGGATAAGTTCTACTATATATACCTGGTAATTAATTGCTCATTAACTGCTGATTTTGTGTGTATTTGAAGGGTGTTTTTTGCATTTCTGATTAGAAGTCTCATGGGTACCTCTGGAGTCTTAGACTGCTATTTTAAAAAATTTCCTAATGCTACCCTGCAAAATTATGTGATGTCATAAAGAAGATGGTATCTGCAGTCATTTGCATGAAAATACAGTTTTTGTACAAAATGCATTTTTTTCAAGTTTCAGCAGAATCCCTCTCTCTTAGTCTAGTTTCGTACTTAACTATTTTAATTTTTTAGCTTGTGTGGATTAGGGGATGTTTTGCTTGCTGTTTCATTTAGTGCTAGAAGCAGCTGTATATATATTTTAAAATCTTATAAATAAAGCAGGTTTTTTGCCTGTTTAGTCCTAGCTTGTCCTGCACTATTCTACTTGCCACCTGGTTTGTGAATTCATTGTCCCAGGAAGGTCTGGGCTTTTGTTCTTTTATTTCTTCCACTGTGCACATTACAGGGAAAAATGCATTTCAGATAATTAGCCAAGAAGTGATGTGAGTGTGACCAGATAAATGACTGCAGCTGCTACATGCAGCAGACTTCTCTGGAAGGGGTGCGTCAGCTTAACCTGCAGTGTAACATCTCAAAGAAACCCTATTTCCTTGCATTACATGGGGCAGCTATTAGACCTCATGGTGCTCCCAGACTAAAATGTTACTGCAGAAGAAAAGAAAATATGAGTTATAACTTAATCATCCAACCTTTTGTCATTTTTTTCACATTGCTGGTTTTTAGAGAGTATACTGGTAGCTGAAACACTGCCATACATTGGATGTGATCTCTTTAAGTGCTTGTTTGCCAAAGCAGGTTGCCCACCTGTTTCCTTGGAAATCCCATGGTCAAAGTATTAGTTTTGGGTCTTCTAGTGAAGTTGCTTCATTTGGTCAGCTTCAAAGCTCTGTAAAGTAAAGCCCAGTTCTTGGGATCATTTTCTGACAAAGCATCCATTATTCACAGCGTTTCATTTCATAGCACAGCTTCAGGTAATCTTTTTCTCCTCAGCACCTGGATGATGACACAGTTTCAGGATCGAATTGGATAACAGAAAACAATGTCCAGCATTCTCTGTCACAGACAGCCAAAACTACCAGGAAGCCTTACTGTGGGTACACGCAGCAGACCTTGTCCAAAAGGGAACAAGCAGAGCAGGAATCGTTGCTTGCTGCAATACAGTGGCCAAAGCCCCCTGATGGCAAAATCGCCTTTGCACAAAGCACTGATCCCACACACAGTGACTTTGTGATTGTGAAACCCAGCAGGTTCTTCAAGGTGGGGGATCAGTTAGAGGTACTCGTTCGTATGAAGGATTTCCAAGGAAAACCCAAGCAGTATGGTGGAGACTACTTACAGGCACGAATTCACTCTCCTGGGCTGAAAGCTGGAGCAGCAGGAAGGATTGTAGATTGCCATAATGGCCTTTACAAGGTCTTCTTTACCTTGCTTTGGCCAGGAGAGGTCAAAGTTTCTGTGTCACTTGTCCATCCGAGCGAAGCAATCCAAGTCCTCATGCGCTTACGAGAGGAAAGGCCGGACAGAGTCTATTTCAAAAGCTCATTCAAGTCTGGGAGGTATTCAGAAACTACAGAGTGCAACGTTTGCTTGCCTGGAGGTCTCCCAGTCTGTAACTTCACAGATCTCTACACGGGTGAGCCGTGGTTCTGTTACAAGCCTCGAAAACTGTCCTGTGCCAGCCGAATCAGCCATGCCAAAGGTGGATATCTGAAAGGTCTTCTGACACGAGAGGAAAGCCTCTTTTTCCAAAGGTTTGTATGTTGTTAAATTTATATATCCAGTCAAACTGTTTTGTTTGGGTTTTGTTTTATACAAACTTTAGCCTATTGCTTAAATATGACACATTGCCTTAGAGGGGGAGTGTATCTGCAGGATCAATGTTTGGTGTGAGTTGTTGAACTCCATTCAGCTGTGCAAAAATCTTAGCAATCTTGAAGAAACTTGGCACGTAGTTTTCTTTCTGTGCTTCTGTGCTACTGAATTTCACAAGAGCATGCTGTCTAAATCTGGCGGTGGTTTGGGGAACTGTTTTCTTATTTTCTTTTTCCATACCTACACTTGCAGTATCAGTAACAATGCTTTGAGAAGTGTTTTTAGCAAAATTTAAACTCCCTAAAAAGGGTCTGGGTTTTATGCTTACTTTTACAGAAATTACAAATTGTTTTTGTCCTCATAAAAAATTATCTTAAATGTGTTCCTTGTTGCTCAGTATGACTTTCAAATCTCAGAAACACTTTCATAAAGAAGACACCTGGTAGAAAAAATTGCTGAGCAATACCCATGCAAGTGGAAATTATCTGTGCATGTTATTTCAAATATCAAACTAAATTAGTTTCACAGTCATATTTTATTTCTGCATTCAGCATTAAAAAAAACAAACCCAAACCATCTCTCAGTGCCTGAGTACATGTGACAGAACTGCTTTTGTATCAAATTACACAGCTGAATTTAGATAAAGTTAGTTACTATTTAGTGTCAGAGTTGTAGTTGTAGGCTACTGTCTTGCTCTCCAACAAAAATTTTGTAGGAAACATTCTTTTGGCACTATGTTCACTTGAGGCCTAAACTGGGAAAGATTTTAGAGTAGCAGCTCCAAATTTAGGAAAGCATGTGTGCATGTTCGTAACCAAGACCAGAAATAAAAAGTAAGCATCAGTGGAATTTTTTTTTTTTGGCTCTACCATGTGAAGTTTGTACGTGGGTCTTTTGACTTCGTGTCTCTGCCAGTCCACCTGTAAAATATAGCTTTTATTTATTGGTGATGTTTCCATATGGGAATGGGAAAGGGTTTTTTTTTTGTTTTGTTTTCATTGTTTATTTGTTTGTTTAATTCAGCTCTGAGATCCTTGACTGAAGTGGCATATAGAAATTCCAAATAATTTATTTCTCAAATGAAAAAAAAAAAAATAGACAAGGATTCTCTTCAAAATAGTAGTAAAAGACAGAACAAGAGCTTAGTATTAGTCAGCTGAGAGCTGCTGCTGCAGCCCTGTACCCTTGCAGTAGTTTGTCTGCAAGGTTCTGCAAGCTGGGAACATCTTTGGAAAAATCCCCAAAACCTTTCTGCAGACCTCTGACAGCTTGATTGCTTTGTTGAGATTTGTGTCAGTAAGATTTGTGTCAGTGCCGTGAAACTTTGAATTTGGATTCAGAATAGTGATGGTGGTTTCAAAGTAAATGCAGAATGAATTCAGCTATAGGAAGTAGGATAAACTTAGAGTAAAAATTTGTAGTATTATGTGGTTATTTGAAGTAGAGTAAGAAAAAATGAGATTACTATTACTTTCAAGTTTCACAGTAACTTTTACAAATATTGATGTGTTCATTTTTTATTCAAGTGATGTGAATATCAAAAGGCCGATACCCTCCAGTGGACCCGATTCAGTCATTGTAAAGCCCAAGGCATTTACAGGTAAAGTGAACTGCATAAGATTCTTGTTTGTAACTCATAATTAAATTTATAAAAAGAACAGCAGGTATAAAATAATAATTTGTTTTTTTAGCATGGTACAAAAATCAGTATCAGATTTCTGTTGAAACGATGAAGGCTTTTGTGTGTTATCTGTAATACAAGTTCAGAAATAATGAAACTTTTTTTCTAAAATTACGTACATAAATGGGATTTTTAGCCAAAAAAAGGAAATCAGAAGAAGAGTAGTTTGTTCTCTTGCCAAAAATGTCTTTTATTTCCCCTAGCATTTACTCACACTGTAAAATGTCTTAGAGTAACTGTTTACCAAACTCTGAATCTAATGAAAACAGCGGTGTGATGTTTCTTAATTTCTTTTTTTATCAAGAGTTTTGATAAATGCATTCAAGTATTACTATAATTTGTGTTACCACAGGATGTCAGAACCTACAGTTCTGGACCAGAACTTAATTGTTCTGTGCTGTTTCTAAGAACAGAACAAAGATGGTCTGTACTAGAATAAACTCAGAGGTTTAATCTCATTCATATCCAAATGCAAGCTTTTTATGCTTCTAAAAAGTCTGTATAAAATATCATACACAGAGAATTATTTCTTAAATTAAAACTTTCCTTTTTTTTTCCATAAGGTTATAGAAACTTTTAAGGTAGAGTTACTGACCTGAGCAATAAAGTCTGAACAGAAGACAACTTACTGCATTTCTTGCTTTTAGTTTTACTTTTCACTAAAAAAAACAGTTCTACTACTAGGCTTGCAGCATTTTACCCTCCACCTCTTTTCTTTGTCCAGATCCTTTAGCCGATGTGTTTTTGTTGCTTTTTTTATCTTGTATATTTCCTGACAGAAACTGCTACAAATTCAAAACTTGATTGTCACCCTTCTTCCAGGAGCTATGAATGATCAAAGCGTACTTACAATGTTGTGAGGATTAATGCTGGGTTGAAAAGTGTTGATAAGAGTAGCACATTTCCTCAGGGAAATTCCTTCCAAGAACAACAGTCTCTGAATAAATAAACTGAACTTATTGGTATAATGCTCGTGAATGTGTGGATTTGTTAGGATTGATGGTACACACAAACTCATTGTTCTGCTGTTCTTCTGTATGGTGGTAAATGTAGATCAAGATCTTTAAAAGTTTTCCTTTCTATTCTTGATTTTTAACTTCAGGTTGGAGCTTTAATTCTCTTTTATAAAATCTCAAAGTAAGGGCCAATTCTGGGCTAACACTGGTATGATACTGTACCCAGACTTGAAATACTGATTAACTGGGGGGCATCAAACAGTTGTTCTAGTACCACTGTTACATCTAAAAGGTAGAAAATGGAATTGCTTTTACATCAAAACTTAGAATCAAATAAACTCAAGCTGAGAATTCACATTATGAATTAGCCTTTAACGGCATAACCATGTGAAGGCTTTTTTTCCTTTCTCCTGTTTATAAATATTGGATGAATCCACATTATTAGTTGGGGTTTTTTTTCCTCCTTGTTCCTGCTGTCAGATTAAAGAATCAGAATCCAGAGATAGAATTTTCTGATTGCTTTGTTCTGTGGTAATTGTGATTATATTGTTTGCGTTATACAAATGTAATTGTAGTTTGCTTTTTACAGCGTCCCTGTGAGGTCTAAGGAGGTTAACATTCTCTAACCTCTAAGGTTAACATCTACTAATGCAACATGCAGAGGATATTGAATAGAAAAAGAGCAATTAAAAATGCTTATTAGGAAAGATGGTTATGGTTGGCTCTATCTGTGTTATAATGAAGCATCTATCAGAGGGCCAAGGTGAGTAGAAGTGTTTAAACAGCTGGAAGTGTCTGCTCCATGCAGCTGGTGTTTGTGCCAGGGAAGATCTCCATGCTTGTTCAGCTCACGTATCTGAATACACAAATGGCAAAGGAAGAACCTGGAACAATCTCACAGAACTTTGATGTGCCAATATCACCCTGGTTACTAAGAGAAATACAACAATATTTGGCTGATATAACCATGAGATTGAAGCTTGTCTGTAATCTGTAATCCTGATGATTTTGCTTGCAAGGTATTGCTCAACTTCTGCAAGTTAAAAGGTATCCTGTGGAACACAGCTTCGCTGGTGTGTAGTTGTTCCTCAGGGGGCTGCCTGTCCCAGGCAGTAAATGGGGAGGAGGCTAGATAGCAGAGACAGTATACAAAATCTTTGGAATTAGAGACTCTCATAATTATCGTGTTCAAATGGCACATAAACCATTTTTATTTATGCTGGCTTTAATTCTGGTATTTTCTGAATTTGGAAGCATTATGGTTCAGACTTCACTCTTCTAGAGTGCCGAGGTACGTGTTACTCCATAGGAGGAGTTTTCTGGATGTTGGTGTTGGTCTGTTTGGGGGTTTTGGTGGGTTTATTTTGGGTTTTTTGGACGTTTCTCTGAGTGTTATCAGGTTGTCTGTCCCCGCGGGGTCGGTGTCCCCGGCGGGCAGCGCTGCCGTGCGCAGGCCGGGCGCTGGAGGGCAGCAGTGCGCCGTGCCGGGATGGGGAAGATGCTCCGCCGCTCTCCGTGCGTCCGCTCCTCTCTGCCGGGACACACACCCGCCACTCAGCGCTTCCAGAGCAGGGAGAAAGGTGTCAGATACGTTTTCACATTAGCGGCAGAGATACCGTTTAATTTAAACCGAGCTGAACAATAATCGGCCACCCAGCGGTCACTGACTAGTTGTCTGTGAACATTATGTAGGCTGCTTTGGTTGCATGTTAGTTTCAAAGGATTTTTCTCTTCCAGATTTAAGCAGTATGGACAGAGCTGAAGATCCCACAGCTTCCCCTTCTGGCTATTATTATGAAGACCAGTGGAGGTCCAGAACACATTGGATCCATAATTTCAATAAATCAGATGATATAACTGAGTGCTTACAAGGAAAAGTAATCCACTTGTTTGGAGACTCTACAATAAGGCAGTGGTTTGAATATTTGACAGCATTTGTTCCAGGTAATTTGTTTGTTATATATCTTTGTCCTTAAGGACCTTTACAAGGCCTTATTTCTCACATCTCAGACACAGAGCTGGTTTTACTGAGTGACAGTGACAAAACAAAGAAAGAGGAAAGACAAAATCTCATCAGAAGTCCTGGCAGACAGCCAAATGTTTGAGCAGACACTGAAAACGTGTAGGCCATCAGGTATCTGCAAAGTCCTTGGATCAGTACTGCTGCTGTGGTTGTGAGTTAAGGCGGCCACCCCAGGAGGCTTGGCTGGAAGTCACGTGTAAGGCCTTGCCTTTGTAAGGCCTTGCAGCATCCCAGTCACTGGAGAGATATTGGAATGAAGTAGCAAATTGCCTCCATTGCTGTTTATAGGTTTTAGGGCCCTTTTCCTTATTCAAGTTACTTAAATAGAAGTATTTCAGTAGACAATTAAATATTCCTGCCTCCCTCATCCCTTTCAACCAATTGAAGTGAAAAGCACTTCAGTTGTGTTGGAATACAGTCTTTGAGCTGCCTTAATTCCTACAGTTTGAATTAATCTTTCAATTTAATGGAGTCCTAAAATTGCTAGAACGGTTCTTTTTAACACTGGATTCAGAGAGTAACAATGACTATTTGGAAAATTTCTTTTTTATAAGAGAAAAGGAAATAGTTTGGGAAACTTGGAAAAGGCATTGACAGCCTTATGAAATCCAAATGTGCTGTCCTGCAGATTTCAACACCGATAAACTCCACTCTGAAAAATGATGCTCGCTTCTGTTTAATTTTAGAGTTCTTTGAAATATGTTCAGATTTCCTTATCTACTCCTGCTTTGCCCTGTGGTCCACGCATCTTGTTGACAGTTTGAAATTCTTGCACCATCTTTCACTAACACTTGCTCCTGGGCTTTCAGATCTAGTGGAATTCAACCTGGGGAGCCCGAAGAACGTGGGCCCTTTCATGTCTGTGGACCTGAAGCACAACATCCTGCTGAAGTTCCGCTGCCACGGGCCGCCCATCCGCTTCTCGACGGTGTTCAGCAGCGAGCTGCGCTACATCGCCAACGAGCTCAACAGCATCGTGGGGGGCAGGAACACCGTCATAGCCATAACCATATGGTCCCACTTCAGCACCTTCCCCGTGGAAGTGTACATCCGGCGGCTCAGGAACATCCGCAGAGCCGTCGTTCAGCTGCTGGACCGCAGCCCCAAGACTTCAATCGTCATCAGAACCGCTAATGTTCAGGAGCTTGGGCCAGAAGTGAGCCTCTTCAACAGTGACTGGTATTCCTTTCAGCTTGATTCTGTCATGAGGAGAATGTTCTCAGGAATTGCTGTGCACTTTGTGGATGCTTGGGAGATGTCTGTGGCTCATTACTTGCCACATAATCTGCACCCTAATGAAATAATTGTTAAGAATCAAATAGATGCATTTTTATCTTATGTGTGCCCTCTGCAAACTTAGCACAAATGGGTATCCCTGTGTCGTCTTTAGCTATAGCCAAAGTACACTTGCTCTTTTGAGCTGTGGAATGGGGCTGGATGATATGGAGGAGCTCTGGGTACTGTACTTGCATGCAGGATAAGTTGGGTGGCCTTAAGTCTGGGTAGCTGTGAAGGGTGGTAAAGAGGAGTTGACTCTTCAGGCCATGTCTTCCTGCGAGGTTGATTCCTTCAAGTTTATCATTCATACCTGAGATTATTAGAGAGCACCTTAAATTAAATTGGCAGGATTCAATAAGAAATTGTTTGGGTTACTAGCTTTATTAGTTGTCTGCACTGTATGCCTAATTTAATCCACGTGACACTGATTCTGTTGCCAGGGTCGTGTTTCTCAGAACAGTGTGTGAAACCTGCGAAGGATTTTGGGAATGGTCTTTCAGCATTGCAGAGCTTAAGGGATATCTCCTCCGATTGTGTGTCAGAGAAGCAGAGTGTCCTTGTTTGTGTCCTTGTTTCAAAGTCCTAATTAGAAACATGAAGGGAGTGTACCGAAGTCACAAATAAGGAAGCACAATCACAATATCTGTAGAATTAAGTCATGAAGAATTTGCTGAAATTTAATCAAGCACACTAATTAGGCACCTTTGTTGTTTACAGATGGCTGCTAAACAGTGCAAATAGCCAGTGTTTTAGTTTGGTTTCCTGTACTACTGAATTTCTTTTGAGCTTTGATACACTGTCTACTTTTTGATTTGTAGTGAGGATATGTGTGTTTTATGACCTCAGTGAAAACACTGTCTCAGGCAGTTTCTGCAAGTTCGAGTTGCAGGCTGGCCTACTTGAAGCTTAAAGCATTTGCCAGTGAAAGTGTTTCATTTGCCAATGTCAGTGTTTCCATTCCCTGCCAGTTACAGCTGTTCCCCTATGGTCCTGTGAAGCCGGGCTGCCCAGAGTGTCTCTGGTACATCCTTCATACGCCCTGTCTGCATGGGGAGCCCCAGTGACCCCAGGGCCCCTGGTGTGCTTTGGCAGTGATGGTCAAGGCCATGCAATGGCTCCTCTTCAGGGTCTGGCAGTTCTGCCATTTCTTCATCAGCTTCACTGCTGCCAGTACAAAAGGTGGAATACCCTGCCCCAAAAGCCAAGTGCACCCAGGGTTGCTTTTATTTATCTGCTTGGCACAGACCCAGGTTTGCTGGGCTGGCAGCTGGTGGCTCTCCAGCCTCCTGGCCTGGCATTTCCTGCTGCTTATTTGATTGAGCCTGTCTACAGTTTTAACTAGAAGCACTTTGAAAACAGTTTTTTATTAAACTCAACTCCCAAATTAAACAGCAGAGAAGTGTTCCATGCTTAGTTTTGGTCCCACTCAGGCCAGTTTCTTCACTGGCTTGTGTCAAAACCAAATTGAATCTTTGTGAGCAAACTGAGAAGATTAATAAGGCAAATTGGCAGGTTGCAAAGAGTGAAATAATCAAAATGTCTTTATGTTAGAAAAGTTTTACCCTTTGTGAGGTTTGCTGCTCTCCTAAGGAGGTTTGTGCTCTTATTGCCAGGGCCCTAAGAGAGCCAACGCAACCAGCTTCAGCAACAGTGTTTCTTATTGTGCTCATTTTAAAGGGCAACTGAGAAGTGGTTAAAAAACAAATATAAATGATTTTAGCATGTCAAAGTCATCAGTATTATCCGTCTATAAAGTTACCGATTTTAAAATGTTTAAGCATGTCTGGAGGAATTGTGTACACTGAAATAGCACCTATTCTTAGCTTTTCAAATCAACAATTAAGAGATCCAATTTGCTGGTTCCTACTGACAACTGCCTCACACAGCATCTGCCCATACATTAGCATTAGGTAACTATTTCTTACTTTAATATGGTAATGGTAATTTATCCTCTGCTAAAAAGAGGCCACACCAATTCAGGTCTGGGAAAATAAACTACCACAATGGAAAATTACCTTTCATCTTTTCCAGGTATGATTTTTAAAATAGGTAAAGACTTTCATCCTGAATAACAACTCTATCCTAATAATGCTCATGGAAATAGGACTTTAGACTTGCTTTGAAGGAAACTACTTAATTTGTGGACTGACCATTAGGTTTAACTCATAAAGCCATATTGTGTGTGAAAATGTTGTGGCTGCATGTGTCTTCTCTGGGTGTTGTAGTACTTGCTACTGCTCCTCAACAGCAGCTTTATATCACTGTTAGCTACCAAGCACAGAGAGAGAAGACAATATTCTTTTGAATGCTACCAAGCACAGAGAGAGAAGACAATATTCTTTTGAATGCTACCAAGCACAGAGAGAGAAGACAGTATTCTTTTGAATGCTTTGACAGTTGAGGGAAAGAGAACAGGGCTGTTATGAACAAAGGTGTCTGATTGCCTTCTGGTAGACCTTCATCCTTTAGGTTAATTAGATTAATTTTTTAGTAACAGATGAACTAACTTATCAGTAATGAACTTCAGGGAGATAGCCAGTTGGTTTAGAATGAGGATGAAGATTTTATTTCTTTGGGCTCTAAAACAGACAGGGAAGAGAAATGAAGAAACTGAGGATTTACTCGTGTTTGGGGACACTGTGCTTTTAGATGTTATTCAGGTGATCTATGAATGATTTTTCATTTCTATTCTCATCTTGTTACCATCACACCAGTTGTGTATGTATGGGATATGCAAACACAGAAGCAATAAAATATTTTTAAATCAATTTCTTTAAAGTTTAAAGTGGATTTTAATAGGGACTTAGGTTAAGATGTTGGTTATTTTTGAAGTTACTTGATCTGAAACGCGACTGGAAAGGAATTTTTCAGCATCTGTTAAGTATCTTCCTTGACACATAAAAAAACTAATTCACAAGGTTTTTCAAAACCCTGTTGTCCTTTTCTTTCCATTTTCTTCCTTTGAAAGGAAGAAATTGTGTTATTTTTGATATTTTCATTGTTGTACTGATCATTTTGATTATTATTAATCTTTCAGTAGATACTTTTTCTTTTTAAATTTCTTCATTTTAAATCCAGCTGTCTCAAATTCCAGTGAAAGAATCTATTTTTGTGTTTGTTAGAAGATTTCAGAGTAATTTATTTATAAAATAAGTAAACTCCATTTTATATTTATTAGTGTTGCATCGTATTATTTCGAGAGTCTTGTCTCATGTGTATCTTCTTAGGCTGATTTCTTTCTTCTAGAAATTTAGTAAAAATGTGAGTTGAATTGTTGATGAGGAGGGAGGACAAAAAGCAGAAGTTTCCCTTTTTTCAAGTTTTCAGTTGCTTCTAATTTCATCTGCAATGCAGCACTACTTCATGAGATTTAAATCACCATTTTTCATTGTTCTACTTGTTAGAGGTAACCAATTAAAAATGGAAACTTTGCTTACCACAAGTGTCTGTGCAACTTTTTAGGCACTACAGGTGACAATTTCATGTGTACATGACAAAAACGAAGGTTTGAAATTGCCTTCTAGAAGGGTGGGGGATACTGGGGTTTTGTTTTGGTTTTGTTGCAGAAGTGTGAGGTAAAACATTCTTCCATTCATGACAGTTTAAGTAACAGCAAAAAACTTCAATCACAAACATGTTTTTCATTTATAAAGCACTTACTAAAGTCCAGATCATTTAATACATGTTTGGACTGTTTGGAAGGCTCTTACTCTCTGTTGGGAGCAGTGAAAACTCTGTATGTTGGAGAAAGAACTTGTTTTTTTCTAATGTATATATGTTATTGTAATGCTTACAATATGCAGAAGGCTCTACTGTCTTATTTCCTGATGTGATCAGAAAAACAATTTAAATAGCCAAAAAACTCAGAGAATGAAAACTTCCTAATAAAGAGGGCAAGTTTACTTGAACCATTTAATGTGGTATAGTCTCAGTTTATCTTCTTTGCTGTAACCCTGCGCCCTTTATATTTTTATAGCTGCATAGTAATTCCCTTAGTTTTACCTATTATATTTTGTGCTGTGTGTTGGGTAGGAGTTCCACACTATGGTTTATAGATTAAATTCACTCTTAAGTGATTTTTTTTAGGTGATTTGTATTTGGAGAGGAGTGATTTGTGCTGGACATGAGACCTAGCACTAAACTATACTGATGCTTCCCTCCATTGGTGTATCAGGCCTGGCACATAATAAAAGCTTGTACATAATCTAGGCTTCTTCTTTGAGGGGTTTTGCAGCCCAACTGACCCCCAGGAAATCCTTAAACCACTTCATTTAAAAAGAAAGGGTGAAGAGCAGATGCAGCGTGGTCATTGCTTCTCTCTCTTATGAACGGTTTTTACCTAAATAATGGAAAAAACATTGAGGAGAGATGTGTCCTGTGAGTCAGCCGCGTGTTGAAGGGCTGTAGGGCACCCTGCGCTGGCAGGCTGTGTGTCCACTGCCCCGTGAGCCCAGGGGCTGCGTTTGCAGGGTCGTGGGGACAGGGAGGGAGTGAGTGGCTGCCTGGCACGGACTGGGGAGTCTCTGGGATGTCCTAAGAGTAGAGGATTTGGGGGATGTCCACTGGCTTGCCTTGGAGTTAGCTTGCAGCCAGGGCTTGCAGCTGGGAAGGCAGTGAGCAGGGTGTGATGCCCTGTGTGCTGATTCCTGACGTATATAGCCAAAAATAGCCTGTTTGACTAAGCTAAAAATCCCTGAATGACAAAATCCTCCCAGCTAGGAGAGAGTGCTGAGGCAGCATTGCCAAGTATTTGTTCTGTTTTTCTGTTCCCCTCTCATTCCGTGGTGCCTGCTGAAGGGGGCAGGGTAGGGGTAAGGGCCAGGGCTGTGTTCTGGGTACTGCTCATACATTCCTCCTGAGCACAGAGCTGGGGCCATGGCCCAGCCTGCTCTCACCAGTCCCAATGGCCCGAGGGGACAGGGCAAAGGCAAAGCAGCATCTGGAAACTGCACTGAAGTGTGCTGCCATCATGTCCAACCTACGTCAGCCTTCACTCAACCAAAAACGAACAAGAGAGGCTGCAAAGTATGAGCTGCTTTTCAGTGTGGTGTTAGGTCAGGCCCCAGGCCTCCTCAGAGGGGAAGTGAGAGTGGGGAGTAGGATAGAGAGGGGAAGCAAAAGAGTTAGGATACAGTTAAGGAAAAACAACATGCAAAGGTCTTCCTGTGTGACACCAAGGAGGGAAAGTTGGAAATTTGGTCATGTGGAGATTTTCAAAGGCAGTACCAACTGTGTGGGACAGACTCACTCCTCTGAGATAGCACACTGAATGCACACAGATTTATTGCTCCACATGTTTTTAAAAAAGGAACAGTTCTTCCCACCCAGGCTGCTCACCCACCTCTTCCTCTATGCCCTCCTGATGGTGATGACACAGCAATCGTGTTAGGTACAGTTCCAGTCTCTGCTTACTGTTGGTTTGAAGCCATGTGTGTTGTGTTCTCACATGACTGTAGATGTGACAGATATCATAGCAGGGGAACTTTTTAAAAGAAACCGAAGCATTTGTAATCAAGATAAGGAGGAGTTTGCAGGCAGATTTTTATCATGTGCCAAGTGCTCCTCAGAGGCTGTGGTGACTCAGAGGAGCCATGTAACTTGCCTGAGATAGCACAGGTTGCTTGGCAGGGCAGGGGCTTGAGCCTCATCCATCAGACACAGGGACAGGAGGCTCACCATGTCTCCTGGGAAAAAGCCAAAACAACGTGGTTTCTGATCCAGCTGGAATGGGGCTTCTTATGTTCATCCCATGGTTTAGCCCTGCATCCCCAGTAAGGAGTGTGTAAGGTAACTCCTAACACTAGCTGTCCTATTGACGGTGCAAGATCAATGTATTTGAAATCAGGAAATGTTTTATGTCCTTGTATCTGGATCTTTGAGTCTTCCTGAATTGTTAATTCACCACAGGGCTTGTCACTCAGACCTGAACTTCCATGTAAGGGAACCTAGCTTGTATCTGGGCAGTGATTCTAAAATCCTGTCCCAATTACTGTGTCCTCCTTCACTGTTGGTGTTGCTAGTCTCCCATGGGCATATTCAGTAGCTTTCTGGGATGATGCAAACTGGTCTGTTCTGTGAGTCTGTCATGGTGAACTCTGCAGGAGCTTCTCTGCTTGGAAGGGGAAAGAGGGATTTTGTGGGGCAGTGCTAGAGCACTGAGTGTATGAGTTACTTTCTGTGAGCACCAGATTGTGGTGTGAGCACGTCACTAATGCTAATTGAAAGTGCAAGATGCCCTCCCCCACATCCCAACTCTGTCAGCTGGCGTGGGCTAAATAGATTAATCCCTTAATGAATGTGGCCAGAAAAGGGCTTTGAGGCACTGAAAAAGAGTCTGGGATGACTCTCAAAAGAAAAACATAAGCCACAACATACTTGCCTTGGTGGTGGTTTGTTTCTAACTCACGTGTAGTTTGTGTTTTGAAAACAAATGTCACAAATACCACTGAGGCTCTTTGACTTGGAGTATGTTTGAGAGTGAAATCAGCTGATGACATGGATTTGATAACTCTTAGATTGAAGACTATGCTTCAGAGAATGATTATTTCCCCCCCCCCCCCAAATATTCTTTTAAATCTGATTTTTTTTTTCCCTAAGCCACAAAAGGATGGAGGGAAGTTAACTTTACCAGGATAGAATAGTACATCTCAAGTTAGTTCTTTCTGCAACATAGAAAATTAAGCAGTGTCTGTGGTCTGAGAGCAAGATGTGCTGTGGCTGTCAGTGTTCTCTAGGTCAGCCATCCATTAAATATTTTGTCCCCTCCAATTTTTACACTCTCCTTCCCTAGTCCCTTCTGAAAATGGACAAGTGCTTTTCACCCTTTGCCCTTGTGCCTCTGAAGGCACCTGTTTTTTTGTTTAGTTTGGTACAGGGCTGTCCCTTTTCCCTCTAAATCTCTGCTGCATTGTTGACCAGGAGTGTTTATGTGACAAGGACAATTCCTCTGCTGTGGTGTGGCAGCTCACTCTGAAGGATCTCACAAAAGAGCTTCTATGTGGGACATGCCTGTGGGAGTGCAGTAGGTGAGAGGCATGGCAGAAGTGACTTTCACTTCACCTGCAGTGAAAGAACCATGACAAATTACAGGGTTTTTCCTCTCTTGCCATCCTGCAGTCAGTTCTTTCCACTCCTTCCTACCCCTTGGTTTTCCCTGAGCTGGGTGAGTCGTGCTTTCCAGTCCTGCCTGTCCTCTTTTCTGAGTCAGCTTCTCTCAGGGAATTGTTGCTTGCTCTTGGCAAGGCATCTATTTCTGTCTCTAGCTGTTTCTTCCTTCTAATGGTTTCATATCTTTCTGCTCCACATTTGTATTTTTTCCCTGTGTATTATTATTATTTGCTTTTGCTGTGCCTTGCTTTTGCCCTTGCTTTGATAAGTAAAATTAGGAAAAGAAAGTTGCTTTACTGAAAAAAATCTTCTGTCTTAAAAATTCAATTAAAAATTTCAGGTGCTCCAGTAACAAACTGATATTATAATTACTTTACATTGTGTAAGTTGTGTTCAACATATGTGTATCTTCCAATCCCAGAAGTTTCATATCTGCTGGTAAAATGTAGGTTCCTTATGTTAACACATTTCTTCCTGACATCCTGTTGCCTCTGTTCTTGTGTGCAGCAAACATTGTTACAGGAAGATATTTTCACTTCTGGCTGGAGTGGTGACTCTGCATCCTGCCCTGCCACACATCAGCCACGGCGTTTTTACTTTTCCTGTCTTTCTTTTCTTGTCAGACTTAGATTTTCCTTTTCTTTGAAGCACGTATTACCTCTTCACACAGCTGAGTGGTGCCCAGGAGGAGGCTGACCTCCCTCACATCTCCAGCTGATAACAAATGTCCCCCATGATTTTTGGAATCAAAGCACCTGAGCTGCCCTAATTCCAAAGGCAGTGGCACCTGGGAGAAAGGATGAGCCCAGTGGTGCTCCAGGTGCTGCTCCTGCTGCCTGTGGGGTCAGATGGCCATCTGTGCCTCTTTGGGGCTGCAGCCTTCCCTCTTTGCAAAGAGAGATCTCCATACCTTGTGAAGGCACTCAGAAGCCACTCAGGTCCCCAAAGGCAGCAGGTTTTGCTTCACAGCTGCTGCAGGAGAAGGCAGGGCTCTCTGCAAGGGTCCGAGTGAGGCATCGCCCTGACGCGCTTTAGACAAGACTGAAGTCACCACGGGCCTTCAGTGAGCAAACAAACACCAGCCCCAGCTGGAACAAACCATCCTGATTTCCAAGTGAAGTATCGAGCCCATCAAGATTATCGGCTGAACATGTTCCAGTGATACAATACATCTGCGAACAGGAAGGTGGAGCCCACGCAGCATTTCCTGCCCGCAGGGGGAAGGTTTCAAATTTATCACCTTTGGGATGGAGATGTTCTCTCCTACCTCCCTCCTGCAGCTTGCTGGAGCAGGACAAGGGTGGGGATAAAGCATGAGGATGTTCTGTTTGTGTTCCAGTGCAGGAGGCACTGGGAACACAAGGGGCAGGAACAGCAGTGGTCCGGTGCCTTTGCCTTGTTGGTGGCAGCTGCTGGAAATTGTATCAGCATTTGGGAAGGGGCAACACAAGGCACTGACAGTGAGGGGTGTTTGCTCTGAAAAGATTTGGGTGTCCTGTTCTTGCTCACCATGTTTGATATGCGTGGTGAATCCTGGCCCATGCCACTGCTGAAGGGAAAAGGCATTATGGATGGATTTACACACATTTTAGGAAAATCCAGGACACATTTTTTATACGAAAGGTTGTTTTTATCTACTGGAGCAGGTGCCTCTTTCACACCTGATACATCTGTGACAAACGTGGCTACTTTTTTCTGTATTATTTTTTTTTACACATGTCCCCCTTTCCATTTTAACCAGGCTCCTGGCTGTATGGAGCTTTCACACTCACACCCTGTGAAACTCACTCCAGCCTTTCCGAGGGC